CTAGAAAATTCATCCCAGCATTCATGCCATTTTTTTTACCCCTTAAGCAGACCCTTTGGAAGCAAATGGGAGAAAAATTTGGGGAAGCTACCTTTACTCGAGAAATATGATGAGATTTTGCTAGTCTCCATCAAAGCCATCCGTCTTCTCACGATAAAAGGAAAAATGTTGTACTGCTACTGGAAGTATCATAGGGTTAGAACTTTTTGATCACCTTAGAACTTTTTGTTTTTGTATGTAGTTCAGCGAGTACTGATTACAGTAAAAAGATCATTTTTCATTTTCAAGGCGCATTTTTCATTTCAGAACCTTTTCTCCAACGAAACAAAGAGAGATAGGAAGTTGAACTTTGGCGCAGAAGTACCTCATGGATTGCTGAGTACAGAAAATTTCAACTTTGGAAATATGTCCCTCAGTGCGGATTATGGGAGGGAAGTATTGAATATCTGAAGATTAATTTTCGCTTTGACAAATGGGGGTGGGGGGGGCAGGTAAAGAGATTTGAAATTAGGCGCACAAGAAGTCATCGGAATAATGAGTTCAATCAGATTCTCGATTACGTCCCTCATGGCACATACAATATTTCGACAGAGACATCCTTTAATTAAGTTTTTGCCAAATAGGAAAATGTAAACATTAAAAGCTGAAATTTCGTACACAAGTGCTTCTCTCGATACTAATATTAGTAACGTTTTCTGTTGTGACATTTATTCCAAAGGACTGCTCTTTTTTAGATAATTTTTTACCAAATACATTTTCGCTGCAAGAAACTTCAAAGTGGAGAAAGAGAATTTAGTAATCCTGGTGTTCTTGGGGTGTTGATTTTAGAATAGTGTTTATTTTTTTGGTTCATCCTTAAAGAAACCTCATTTTTCTTAAACGCTGGTCATCCGGAAAATTTTCGTTCTCACGAAACGATCTCAAATCTGATGGTATGAGATGGACATTCTTTTTGATTGCACAAACCTCATTTAAGGAAGATAAGAGACCTTAATGCTAAAAAGTTAATTTACCCCATGAGTCCATGCACTCTCAAAGGGCTGTTACTTAAAGGAAGTTTCAGCCTTTGAACTTAAGAACCTCTTAGGACTCGCTTTCGTAAGTCAAAGCATTAAGTTACTGTATCATTATCCAGAAAGAGGCCAAGTTAGAGGATACATAATTCTTTTTGAAGATTCATAAAATGCCTTCAATAATGCATCGAGTCGTACACACCATGTGATAACAATTTATCCCACGAAGTTTCGGGATTTCTTCTCTTGAGAATGCCCTTTTTTGTGCAAAATGTCATTCCTTGAAATCTGAAATACCAACTTTTGCCCCACAGAACGAGAACCTCCCATTTGGGCACAATCTGATGTCTATTTATACTAGACAGATTCTTGTGCATTGTACTGCTGTGTTGAAGATCTGAGGGAACTGAACTTGTCAGTGGTTATCTGCTGTATGTAGTTCGTTAAGAGAAAAAAGTTCCTTGCACCATGTTCCATCTTGCAGCCTATAGGCATCCTTGCTTAAAATTTGGGTTGTCAGTTACACCCTATTGAGTTAGGTGCATAGTGCTTCTTTTTTTTTCAGTCACATCTGCTATGTAAAGCATGACACAGATTAAATTGCACCGATTTCAAATTTCCCGCCTAACCTTATACGTAAGCAATCGCTATTTAAACTACCCTCATTGTAAAGCCTAAACATTCAGCTTTTGGTCAATATAAAAAGATTTGTGACAGCACTAGTAGTTACTGAAATAGTTGCCATGGAACTCGAAGGCAGAAAGAAAATTCTGCACTTTTTTGCTGAAAATCCGTCGACTTCACATTCGGTCATCGCGAAAGCAACGAAAACGACGAAATCTACAGTGACTCGAGTTATAAACCGTTTCAAGAGGACTCAAACTGCTGAAAGAGCTCAAAGAACAGGAACGAAGACACGTACACGTGATAAGGAGCTCTCTCGAAGAGTCATCAGATCAGCGAAACAAAATCCAGGACTTTCGCTAAGAGATCGAGCAAAAAGATGTGGAACNCAAACTGTCCAGAATTCAGACCCATCGAGGAATTCTGGTCAATGGGCAAAACAAACTTCAAAAAGACTCGAGCAACTATCAAAAACGACAGACAAATGCTCTACCACTGGCAAAGCAGCGTCGAGAAGATTGATCGAAAGACTGTGCAGAAGATGATGGCGTCGATCAAAGGAAAAGTCCGCAGATTCATCAGAACAGGAGAGATGAAGAACTAAGATGTTATGTACTTGAATTCTGAGACTCTGTAGTTTCCGAAAATATAAGTTTCAATTTCCAAAATTGTTGCCTTAATTTTTTATCGACTTTTGAAATCGGTGCAATTTAATCTGTGTCATGCTTTAGTGGGAAAGGAAATTTGCATCTTTTCTTCATTCAAAAATTTGAAGAGCTTCACCATAATGTGAGACATCATTTGTCCTTAATCCCTGTCATATATGTCTTCACTGAATCCAAATACTATTCTTGAGTGTTTCAAAGAACTTCAGTGGCATACTGAAAAGGGGGCCTTTATTCCACAACACATGCAGTGGAACCGGTAACAGTGACCACATTCACACAATGAAAAAAAAAAAAATTTTTTTTCAAACATGGGACAACTACCATACATAAAGATAGGAGAGGCAAGCACTGCATTCCATATAGCCTATCCAGACCACCTAAATATCCTGGATCACTTTTAATAGATGAACCCAAAAAAACTTGTCATAGATTGTTGTACAAATTCAGCATATTGAATATAATCATCATTGGTAAGCAATAAAAAAATCTCTTGGCAAAGATGAGTGCAGGATGATTGTGGGAGAGAGATAGCGTGCACAGCTGTGAGGACTGATGTTGCAACACAGACCACATTTCAGTCGTCACTGCTACCTCGCCGGAAGTTCCCTGGGGTGAGGAATCCTCCCAAATAGTTGCGGGGAGCACGTCCGGTTCTCTGAAGACGTGCTGCAAGGTGTCAAAATGATTCATGTTAGTATCTTTGGAATTTCTCTGCTCTTGTGGTGCAATCATCAAGCATTGCACAGACTATGGCATCATGCAAGATTTTCACCACTTCTCTACCAGTCATGAGCAGTTTCCTTAAGCAAATTCTCCCCAATTAAAAATAAGCTCAGGATGCAAGGTCCAATTTTTACTGGTTTTCTAAAGCATGAATACTAAAGTCATTATCTTAATTTAAAATTAATGATGGATACATTATGATACAACTGGGGTAGCTCAGATGTAAATGTTTGACATCTAAATTACTGCCACCAATTCAATACTAAAAGACTGATATTAATACTCAACCAAACCTGCCCTCATGGGAGACATTCCACACATGGATTCAGTCCAAACAATACTAAGAAGTTGACAAAGGAAATGCCATAGCCTATGATATGCCACAAAGATAATCAGACATTTCCATACAAAGCAAAGATGTCTATCAGTGAAAAGAGAATTCACCAACAGAGAGAAACCATTTTCAGGTTGCATCCATTCATTTGCCATTTCTTTTGTGAATGGTTTTTCATAGGGGTAAAATGGCAAAACTCGAACACCTTAAGGTCGAGCCAACATAGAGAGAAAGTGCATGCAATTTTACCTTCAGATGTTTTTAATTTTGCCACTTTTACCCTATATCTCCTATTGTACAGGCACAACTAAAGGTCTAAGACATTCTCAGTCAATATGCGAGCTGTTTGGATTGCCAGTCTGTAAGTCTTTTCCAGTATTCTAACAAAAAATGTCACTAACCTCTTGGTGACAAAATAAATTTCCAGTCTATCACTCTAAAATACAGTAAGTAATTTGTCATCAATAACTACAATTAGATCATCCTACTGTTCATCCTTATAATAGATTTGAGGTCACATTTAACTTCCTCTAACAAGAAAACAGAGTGATGTCAGTTATGAGAATCGAAAAAAAATGAAAGCATAGATATAAAGCCTAGATCAACCATGCTAAGGCAGGAATGCAGAATTTAATGTAAAAGGCTGCTTACCTTCCATCACTCTGTTCTTCCAAAAGGTGAAGTTAAGTATATGCCAATAATGGGCATATACTTAACTTCACTTTTAACTTTAACACTGTATACCTATAACTCAGTCTCTGAATCAATGATGAAATAAGTTCCACTCCTTCCACACTTAATCTCCAATGATTTTTAGTTAGGGTGTGAAAGGAGGAAGAAGTGCAGGCATGCATAATTTTCATTAGAACCATTCATAGTAGGCATGGGATTAGATGGGTTAAAATTGTGCATTTCTGGATCAAGCAGTGATGACTCACACTGTGTGTGTGTGAACAGAAAGGGGGACCTGGTTTCTTTATATTTTTTGAATTTGGTTTAGGATGCGAGGTCACATGAGGCGCTTTTGCCGAAGCTTATGGAACAGGCGCACTCCAAGCCGTGTTTTCAGGCCTCTCCGGACTAAAGCACAGACAGGAGAGAATAAAAGATAAGGGAAAAAAAAAGAGCACAAAGCATGGAATTATATCAAGCATGGTATGGCAGGATAATAGAAACAGGGACAGAGACAAGCACCAGCCACCAATAAACCCACCCAGACACGCAAAGGTCCTCAAAGTGGAGCTGAAACCAAACCACATGACTTTATCTGTGATTGGAATAAAAACTGCAGGATGCACAATAACCTACAAGCTTGAAATTTATTCAAGTAGGATGGATAACACAGGCATGACTGAACATTCAGAACCAAAGCTCACCTAGGGGTGCCACCCAATTGGGAGATGAAAATGGAAAATAAGAACTGAATTGTGCAAGAATCACACATTTATGAGCTGGGCTTTCATCTACACATGAAAGGTAAGAAGCATCTGTTATCACGCAGATCCAAGAAGCATTAAGATATATATGAAGAGAAAATGGCACCGGGAGGACAAAAAAATAAAATTCATGAACTCATTCACTCTCATCGCTATCCTCTCTTATTCTCCCATGCCCATCTTCCTCACTGTCCCCCCCTACTCTTCCATTCTCATCATCTTTACTGTCTTCTACTTCTCCTTCATGCTCAACTTCTTTATTGCCTTCTTCTACTTCTCTTTCATGTTCATCTTCTTTACTGTCTTCTACTTCTTCTCTTTCATGTTCATCTTCTTTACTGTCTTCTACTTTTTCTCTTTCATACTCATCTTTACTGCCTTCTCCAACTTCTCCTTCATGTTCATCTTCTTTACCATCCCCTCCTCCTTCTTCATGGTCTTCTTCATTGTCTTTTATTACTTTTTCATAGTCATCTTCAGTGTACTCTCCACTTGCCCCATGTTTATCATCATCTTTATCCATTTCTTCTTTCCCATTCTTCTTTCTTGCCTCCCCCATACCAGCAATTTCTTTGCCAACTTCTTCCTGGCTCCACCTTTCTGCCTCCACATGAGAATTTCCTCCACCCAAGACAATGGTGTGCGAGACATCCACATTTTCCACAATTCGCTGAATTCTCCACCCTGGTGGGAAAAGAGGCACCAGTGTCAAGCCAACTGTAGTGACTTGAGCTAACCAAAGGGAACAATGCATTGATGCCACATTGAGAATATCTATGATCAGTGATATGAATGACTCATCTCACCATGATATATTCACTGGGACACTTAACATAATAGCAAAAAATGCAAAACTTGCTAACTTTGTGAAAGGAACAAGAGAACTCTTCATGAAGAGATGAACAAAGCAGACATGAGTGGAAGAATTCCATTAGATAATGAAAACTCTGCAACTTTTTTTTTTCATATATCCACCTGTATATGATTTTCATTGCTGTTAACAATGAGCCATTAATGGTCTCAATCCATGAATCACTGTCATCCAAACTGATATTGTGACAGCTCTACAACAGTCTAAAACCTATGACAGAATTAGGGGCTACAAGCATATAGTATGTCTTGCTAGTCTATATGGAAAGGGAATGAGAGGAGAATACTTACACACACAAGGGAGCACGGGGAGGCAAGACACAGAAAGAGACACAGGGAGCCCGCTTGAGTTGCCATCAGCGCCTCTTGCTGCCACGCCGGGGTGGACACTTGGCATCGCACGAAGACGCACTTCACTCACACGGGGGAACACTTCGTTTCGATTCCGTCAATTTCAATTCAAGTCCATTTATTTTTTGTTCTGACTGGATTATCTTTCGCGCTCTGGTGACAACTCAACAACGGATGAGTCAGGCACGTGCACTATGGCTCATGTCATGATGATTTTTTCCTAATGGATTCTGCTTGAAGCATGCTTCTTTCAAGCATCCTCCATAAGCTACCTTCTACCAAAAACACAATGACACACATAAAAACTAATAAGCAAACATAGTCTGGTACTAAATTTCATAAATATACCACACACAGCATCACTTGACCAGCTGGTATGAAGAAATCTCTCATAAGAAGTTCCCCTTCAATAATATTTCCCTGCTCCCTTAAAATGCAGAAAGATCCCTTTCAAAATGGGATCATTTCACAAACAAAGAGTAGCACTTCTTGAGGCTCCTTCACATTTAATGCTTCAAATAGTGCTACTTCTTGATTCATGAAGATGCTCGAGGTCCAGATATAGCATAAGTGTGCACATTGTCCAATAATGAGAAGTAAATGAGAGGAGAGGACAAGTGAAGATGAAAATCAGTGGCAGTGCTTCTCTTCTGTTCAACCATTCATCCTCGAAATATTTTTTTTTTAATACCTGCTTCCATGGATCCACTACCCTGGATCTGCTGAACGGTAGAAGTGTGAGATGGCAGGCTGTTGCCTCCACCCCCTCAAGGAAGTTGGTTGAGATGCCTTTGCTCTCCAACATCATAGACTTGACTGACAAGCCTCTTTCCTTGTCATTAACATGCAGGAAAGAGATCCCACAATCCATGACTTGAGTAGGCAAACTATAACAGAGTACCTACCATATAAAGTAGATAGCTATGCTTTCCCCTTTCCAAGCAAAGTCTCTCGATATTCCTGCACTTCAAATACTTCTCCAGTTAACCATGAGTATTCAGGGTAAGTGTGGTCAGTACACACCTTTTGGGTCTCTAGAAGTGCAATACGCCATTAGCAAAGTATGCACTTTGTTATGCTAACCTTAATTGGCATGATCAGTCAAATACCTACGCTTAAACTGAAAGACACTTAACATGGTATTTGGGTACCCTATATCACCTCTAGTGCTAAATTACGTGCACTCCTTTTTCACTTTCCCTGAATAATGCTAAATGAAAAACTATTTTTGGTATCATGGCAAGTAAATTCCATGATCTTTCAAAACTGTGGAGTTTGGAGTCCTTTTTGGAATTCCATTCTTGCATACCAAGGCTGACCACACTTACCCCAGAGAGTAGGTGAGATCATTCCTCATGTAACCTTTTGTTCCATTTTCATCTCTCACTTGTAGGGCTTCACTCTAAGACTAACCATCAACTTTGTTCCTGAAGCTCAAGCCATTCTTTCTTGGTTAACCCTTGGGTCATAATGGTTTTGCATAGCAATAACCTTTCACAATACATATAGCATTGCTCTGGAAAGGTAGTTTCACTGTGAAACCACAATGGCTGTCTGATTGGTGCTCTTTTCTAGTGACAGAAACAGGAACAGCTTGGGTCTGATGTTTTAACTGACTAAGGAAACAAAATATATTAATATTAACAAATAATTTTTCATTAATCTGTGGCTCAAAAAAATAAAGTCCCCTGTCTCATGAGAGAAGTGTTTCTCCATCTACACAACTGATACAATCATCTTTTGTCTATCCTCGCTTTGCAATAGGAACAGGTTAGTTTTGAATCATTAACAACACTTTGTATGCATTAAGGAAACGAAGAATGGTCTTGTCAAATGCAACACTTCCATCAGTTTGTTTCTGTTAATTTTTATGTAGCAATTAGACCAGTAAAGGAAAGAAGAGTGAGGAATGAGAGACTGGTGACGGTGGCAAGGGGGTTTCAGTTGCAGGGCAAAGCTTATTCCAGTCATTTAAAAGGTAACAGGATACTTTCCTATTTCCCATACATTACAAATACACCTACTTGCTATAAACAAGATGGGGATAAATGTGAATGCTGGAAGAAAAGCTCATCATCCCTCCCTTTTTCTAATGATCTACATATCCCCTTGAAACAGATTGTAAACAAATAATCATGTTAACTCCTACTGTTACATTAAATGACCCCTGCATCATTCGTCTGATGATCACACCCACCATATTCATGACCATGCATACCTCTCTGATGGTGCGTGATTACCATAACATTTTGCGAAAAATACAATGAATTGTTAGTTTTCCAAGTGAGAGAATGAAAACTTGATTTAAAGCTAACAACATAATAATGGCAAGTACAAAATTGTTTACATCTCCCATAAAAAATTTAAATTTTTGTATTTTTACCATTCATAACAATCTTACCTCTAAAAGTCACCATATTATCATCCATTAAAATGACTCAGTTCACATACACAGCTGCAGAAGCAACAATCGCATGAGACCAAAATGAAGAATGCTGCAATGAGGTCATTTCCATCAAATTGATGACTCCCAAAGAGTAGCTCCAAAAGGAACCATGCATGATCATCCCATGATGATGGTGCAAGACTTCACTGAAGGACTACTTAATTTCTTTCCATAAACATATTATAGGTCCCTTCACTTCCATACATAATGACTACATCATTCCATTGGCTGACTCATCAGGTTTATGGGATAAGAATACACTGCAGTATTCATTTTGGCATCATATAAGATTCCAGCAATGCTGCTGTTTCAATACTTTTCATATAGCCAGCTACTATGTATATTTGTCAAATAGGAGGATAAAACATTGGGTTTTGTCCAGCTAGCTTTTTCCTATGACGACATACCAAATGACTGAGTCAGAGAAAGCACATAAGCCCAGCCTGGTTCAGTGCAAGAGGGAGAGAGAGAGAGAGAGAACCCAAGTGTGCATTTGCACCTGAGTTTCCGATTACAGAGTTTCAATTTGTCACAAACAGGCTATTATCCTTCCATTTGGCACCTCATCAAGTGCCCCTTACACATGGCCAGGAATGTGCCCTACTTGGAGCAGTTATACAATTGCTAGGCTCAGTGCATCCTCAAGTCTTGAGGTGATTAAGAAATAAAAAATATAATGTAAACAAGTCAAAAGTAACACTAGATCTATGCCAGGATCACACAGCAAAAGAAAAAACAGGCATTGGCTGTCTCTTCTAACAGGCATTGCTTGGTTCTTACTTCATGCACTTTCCCAGACAACATGCTATAAGAAAAGCAGGTGCATCTTCTGTGTATCAAGGCTGGTGAACACTAAGCCCAATAATTCCAATATATCAGATAGTAAGCTGCTGCTCAATTTGTAATATACCAGTTCAGGAATACTTTCAAACTAAAATTGTTCATGTGGGAAAAGTAATTACAAAGAAACTATACCACACTAAGACTTTGCAGTAAATAATTAACAGCCAGGAAAATTTTGACCACTGGCTGTTTCTTTCCTTCCAACCATGCAGATATATCCAAATCAAAGGCACACAAATTGTTTTCTTGACAGAAAGCACCATGAAACACCAAGTAGGTCTAATCTATTCAATTGCTGCAAGACATCTCTCCTCGAGGCATACTCTGATTGTGTATGCCAAAGCCTGTGAGACTCAATTTGGGAGCCAGTTTCCCTGGACCACTACTGTAGGTCAATATTACATACATGTGTGAAAAGAAAACCCATAGAATAATTGCATGTACAGATCAAAATGATAAAATCTTAATAAAAAAAAGAAAGATGCATCCACTTTCCTTCTTCTGTTTGTATAAATGAGGATCTCAACTCTTCTTCCTTGCAAACTAATGAAATAGAAACTAGATTTAAAGTGTTAAAACCAAATGGATTCCTTTCCCCCCCCCCCTTTATTTGTGAGGAGAGGCAAAGTGAAAGACTCACATTTGTCACAATTCTTCTGAAGGTGTGTGGCGACCCGATTCTGTGCATCATTGTACTCAAAGAAGAGCCCAAGTCGCAGGAGGTTCGGGTTCTGCTCCACCAACTGTGTGATCTCCATCTCAATTTTGTTGCCCAGGATGGAGGGTTTCTGTTGGGACAGAAGGAAAATGAGACCCTAATGATTTCACATGTCTACAATGCTATTCAGCTACCAGAAGCTCTAATAAATTCACAAATATAAACTTCACATACTAACCAATTTTAACTTTCAATAAAAGGCAGAGCAAACTTTATTTTAATCATAATTCCATCTATAGTCTTTTGTTTAGACATATAAAGCTTGTCATATAGTCAATACTATATTCAGTAGTCCATTCTCACTGATGACACCAAACCTCCAAGTCTTCTGCATGAAATACGATGATCCAAATGTATTTACCAATTAAAATAATTAATATTTTTCATTTCCCTGGATGAAAAAAAAGCAATGAAACATTACAAAGGATCTTCACCAACTTTTCAGAACTTTAGACTTTCTAAGAAGGAGCAGCTTGACCCCTTAACTGGGTTAGATGCCTTTTGACATTTTACCTCCGATAGGTTAAAATGCATTTGGTGAAAAACTTCCCAGCTAAAGGGTTAAAGGTGGATAGGCTCAGCCAATCATCACTTGACATTAGTACATAAAATTCAGAATAGATAGGGGAATAACTTTTAGACACTCTTCCATTTCACTGGTGTGTTAATGCACTGCACTGGACTATGTAAAGAGGTTCAAGATGCAGCATGTTGAGGGTGGATTGTTTGTTTTGGATACCCAGCATAAAATCCCCAGAGGGCCAATGCAGTAAAGGCAGGCTTATTCCAGTTGGAAAATTCAGGAAGATCCAGGCTGGTTTCAGGCTTGGAATTTTGAGTTTCATCAGTATAATATAAAATAGCTTCCAAATAAATACACCTCAAATTCAGCCTGTATTTATTTTTTATTGGAAGTCCCTGGACTCCTGTCTGATCAAGTGTTGTATTAGACTGAATGAAACATTAGCATGTGCCCACAGTGAAGATGGAAAAAAATAAATGACTATGAAAATCACATTCAATGAATCACATACCTGACTCACTCAAAATAAAAAAAACTACAAATTCCAAGACCTTACTCCTGAATGAAACACAAAAACCAAAAGAAAATGAGTGGGCAGAAGAAACAGAGATAGACATAGACTCACCTGATTGGCAGCTCGGAACTCCTCAACAGACTTCTTAGCCAGGAGTGCTTTGATGAGATCCCTGATTAAGGGAGGAGTGAGGAAGTTGGATTCTACATTCACCACTCGGATGGTAGAATTCTTCTCAAGGGCATCCACCAGCTTCTTGCAGGCCTTGTCCCATAGATCCACATTGGCAAGACTCAGGACCTCCAGCCTCGTGTTCGTCTTCAGTGCATCGAACAAGCGCTCAAACTGCTCTCCCGATATGTTCTGCTCTCATCAAAATTACACCCAGTGTAGTAAGTGCCTTTTTGGGATCAAGGCCAATAAGCCTAATGCTACATTTTATTTCACACAAGCAGAGTGGTTAACCTCACCAGTACAAGAGTCGTACTAAATTGTTCCACATTTTCACTGTCCTTTACTGGCTATCACTCACATTCCCATAAATTATTCTTCAAAGTCAAATGGATTCATGAGAATTAATGCTCATGAAACTGAAACTAAATTAGATGAAAACAAGAGCAAGTAACAGTATAAACAACATTCTAAGGAATGTATCCGTTTTGAATCTAAATCAAACTTTCTGAGGGCTGCAAGGTAGGCTAACCTTGATGTTATTCCAATTGAGTTCCTTGAGAGAGGAGTCATCATCCTTAATCTGCTGGATGGAGCACTCAGGGTCGGTGTCATTAGGTGGCTCATTGGGAAGGGGCTTGTATCGCGTCGATTTTGTGATCCCATCCCAACCGATTCCCACCTGGCCTTTGTTGAGCAATGATGCATGGTACTGGTCTTGGTTCATCATGGAATGAAGGCCCAGAATGGCTGCCAAAGGCAAAATTCAAACAAATTGCTATTATAATCATGTATCCAGCATGTACAAAGGACTCAATTCTACCAATACACATTAGTGTCTAATGTACCTAAATTAAAAAATACATAGATAGTATTATCATTTTCAATTGACAAGTGCATATTGGAAGTATCATCGCTTGGAATCTTTCACTTTTATATTCTATACCCAGGTTCATAGAACATCAAAATCATTTCAAACATTGCCTTTTTTTTCATAGCCCAATCTTTAGTCAGAAGATTCAAAAGTCATATCCTAAGCTATCCTAAAATGAGCAAATTAAAATAAAAGCAAATATTCACAAAATGAAGTTACCTTCCTGCAATTATGAATATCATGAGCATAAAAGCATCAACTCTGCATTGAAAGCATTTCCTCTCAATTGATCAAAAAGAATGCAGATACATTACATGGTCAAGCCAATTCAGTTTCTTAGTGCTGATCAATTGGTTCAACCAGAGTTTTGGGACAAATGTGAAATGGAAACATGAGAGTAAGACCCAAGAGTCAAAATGAAATTGTGAAATAGAAACCTAGATACATTCAATTCATAGATATTTCCACATTTGTTCATTCCTCAAGAAATTTTTTTCAAAACATGGCACAAAGGTGTATTTTATTTTAAATTACTATTCTTGCAGATGTCAGTAGTTCCTACTAGGAACTAACATTGTCAGTAGGGTTAAACTAACATTTGAAATGACAAATAGCACTGACTCAGACATATGACACCTCTGAAAGAGAGGCTCATACAAGTGATGTCAGAGCTAACCAGCTCAAAGCAAGAAAAGAAATATGATACAAAGCCTGTCTGTCCATTGTCCAACTCCAAAAGACACATTTTGGACCACTTCCCATTATGACTACAGTACCCGTTCCCTCTGACTCTTTTCACTTCTACCCTTGGAGGATCAAAGATCTTCAATAGCTACATGCTACATTGAACATCATGAACATTGCTACATGAACATTGATCATCAATCCAGTGGAGAGCCAAACAAGAACCATACCGGCAAGATCGACAAGTTCATCCTCCGACGCCCCACCCAACGCTTGCTCATACTCATCGCCCAAATCTAGTCGAATCTCCTCTTCTTGCTTGGTTAGGGGTCGCTCAGGTGGGATCCATCGCTTTCCCCGGACCATTCCAGCCATGTATGGGACATTGTCCAATTTGTCTGGGGTTTCCCGGGCCTGCTTGTTGATATGTTCTATAAGCCTCTTCCTGTCCAAAGGGCCAGATGGGGACTTTTCACAGATATAACTGCATCTCTGGTCTGGAGGTAGAAGTTCATCCTGAGAACAAAACAACCTCACATACATAACATGCATCCCTCATCTCTCTTATACAGAGAAATGAAAAAATGACTTATACAAGCTATGAAAATGTCCCTCTTATTAAATAGTATGGCTTGGCAATTCATTCAGCATATGATCCAAGCAGAATGTAGACACGGCTGTATGTGGAAAAAATCTATACTACCAAAAAGAAAACAAATTAGGCCCAAAGCATTATCTACAAAGCATACCAGCAGATAAGAAATTACATTGTTTTAACTACAATCTATTCAACAAAGCAGATCTACTTGGCTGAAAAGAGAACATTGAAAGATGGTAAAGCAATAACCTCAGAGCAAAAGAAACTAAATATCCCCACTTTAATACTAAATCTCAAAAAAAGAAACAGCAGTGGATATGCTCAAACTATGGTCAAGAGTGCATTCTTTGCGCACTAAAATAGTCATTTGACAAACAACAAATTTCACCCAGCACGCTTTCAGCCCGATGCAGCTGTACATTGTAAGTATAATTAACACTGCCCAAAGACCATGTTAGCATGGGGTGAATTAACTACCATGACTGTGGAATAAATGGGACATGGGGAGACATTAATATCAGACCAGACTTAAGCATTCCTGTTTCAGAACTACAGGCCTTCACCAAGAACTAAATTTCGTCTCACTTTGGCCATTGAACCAAAATTAATGGGTATATGGCTAGAATTAATGTGCGTGCTTGCCTAGACTTAACAAGAGGTCCTACATATGCCTTAGCCTAAGCATACCACTCCCTTTCCAAACAAAGCGATCCAACACTCAAACAAAGCCATCAGACGAGACAATCAGGCATGAGAACTCACGTCAGGGTCGACTTCTTTGGCTAAAATATCGATCTCCTCGGGACTCAACTGTTCCAGGAGCTGGTCGACGTCTAAATCTTCGTACGCACTGAGATCTTTCCCGTAAAGCTTTCTTGTCGTCATCATGTTATTTGACTGCTGCAGCAACAGAATAAAACCATCAGCACGACTACGCACACACTCAGCCCGACGAAAGAACCAGCTCTGGCTTTGAATCCATGCACAACGAAACGCACTTTCCCTCAGGATCAGAGCGACAATCGAGAGAGAGAATGGAGGATCCTACTCAGGAAGTAGCCATGTTGGAATGAGTGGAAAGCGAACGAGGGACCGAGGTCAGCCTTCTCTTGTCCCGTTCCCCCGTTTATTTCTTCATTAGCTCCGGCCCAGTGATTCGGGAAATCACTACTGTATGGAAATCCACCAATAACCTCGACTCCAAGGCTAGTTACTGGTTGGGCATATTCGAAACAATTTCTTTTCTTGCGTTTTGGTAACACCGCTTTCTTCACTTGAGTCAGGCAATTTTCCACTTGACTCTTGACACTTGTTTTGTTTTTTTATGCATGGGACGTTCCTCATGCCTGAGTGTCGAAGCCAATTGGAAAAATGTTTAACTCGAGTGAAAAAAAAAACTAGAATGTGCAGCGATGCGTAAACGAATTCGTACTACTCCTAGCTTGGACTCCATAGGCCTAACGTCACTTCTGCCATGAGTTATCCCCTCTCCTCCATGCCTGCACCATAGAAATAACATGCGGCAAGGAGCCAGGTGGTACGGATTCATTTGTGAATCTCTGTATGGGTCCTGGACTTTCCCAGGTTTCAGTGAATTGTTGGAAAGAGTATAGCATATCTCCACACATCGATGAACGCCACACCCATTTATGTTTCAATCTCCGTGAAATACTTAGCGATGATGCATATGCCGTCAAGGTTCTTCGAAGGACCATTGGAGTCTTAGCGCGGAAAGCATCTCGAATACGCTCAAGGAGGCATTCCTAGGCGATGCCTCACGCACGACACCAGATTCCACCCTGTTAGCGTGATGCGAGAGGGCCAGTGACATCATCCGTCCTTTATACTCGGGATTCCTTCGTGCCTTCACGATCCAGGAAGTCAAAATCGCTCGTGCAAATGGGCGCTTCGCATCGGCTTCGCTTTCGTCCGATTCTTCTTCCATGCGTTTCACGTTTTCCATTCGGCTCGTTCTTGCGTGAGCGAGGTTTTTTTTTCATTCTTGGCCGTTGGGATTGCAGCTGGACTTGATTGGAGATAAGGAAGCTGTTGGTGGGGTGACTTGTGGGGAAAAGAACGACGCGCATGATTTATTTACTTGTGCTCTGTTGCAATGAAGAGTTCCTTACCGCAAAAAAGTCCTTGAGATGCGGTTCTCAGAGACTGGATCGGTCAGATCGTTGCACTCACCGAGTCCATCGAGCCTTTTTCCCCCCGAAGCGTCGTGATTGCAGGTGCAGAGGATCTGATTTCATTCGCGGAGCATTGAGGCAATGTATTAACTGTTGTTCTGTAGGCGATGCCGTTTTCTTCGTCGCAACGCTGTCACTTACGTAACTGCATAGTTCTAACGACCACGATGCACCTTCGTCGCTCAGCGAATTCAGACTCTTCCCGCTTCCAACTCCCAAGATAACTCCAGTCAGTCGCAAAAAAAAATCTTCGCTAATAAACGTCTGAAGCAGTGCTGAGGAACTCAGTCCGTGACCGCACGGGAAAACGCCAGAGCCCCTGGTTCCGGGACCGCTTTGCGGTCCTAACGCGGCACCGCGGCTCCCCTCACCCCATCGCGGCTAGCGTCATCCGATCCCGCTTTGCGGTCCCCGCGCAGCATTCCGACCCGCGACACCTCCATCCCCGTCCTTCGCGGTCCTCTGATGGAACACTGGCACACGCGTTCTCTAGGCGAGTTTATTTTTAGCCATCCGTCACAAAAAATCCATTAACGTCTTGTGCTTGATTGTCTTGCTCCTCCTGCCCCCACCCCACCCCCCCACCCCCCCGAAAATCTCCTGATCCCCATTCGCATTCCATATCCTTCATATTCCCACCCACCTCTTTCCCGAATTCCTCAAATCCCTCTCGAAGCGTCTCCTAAGCTCGCCATTGACCTGCCATGATCTCTTTGCACTCCTTTGCACTCAAGGACTTAGGGCTGATTCTCCCTTGAGCCCTGCGCATTTGTCGTTTTACTGCTCCAATTTTTTTTTCCCGTCTCTTAATACTCTCATAACGGAAATTTCCCGCAATAATGGAAAATTGATTGCCTCTGATGTCTCGCAAATTAATGAGGACAAAGAGAGAATATACATATTAATGATAGGAGGGGGAGGGGAGGTTTTCCCAGTTGCTGCGAAGTTGCCTCTAACTCTTATCAGCTTTTATAAATAAATAACAATAATTAAACGACTGAAATGATGATAATCAATTATCCTGCTTTTTGCATTGCAAGACCTCCATTTTTGAGGAGTTCCATCGACGCGTTAAACGCTGCAGCAAAAAAAAATTGCAATTGCCATTAACAATTGGCAGAGGATTTCGTCCCCGAACCGCATTTGACTCGGGGCATCCACGCGAGATGGCTCTGCCGTCGAGGGTGCGTCTCCGTCATGGTTAAAAGAGTACCGGTTTCTTTTTTTTGTTTATTTCTTCCCAGTACCATAATCGCAATCGGCGGGGATGCCGTGGGTGCTTCGCGCATCCTGGAATGACTCCTTCCTGGAATCGGAATGTCCTTTGTTGCCTCGGGAGATTCTCGGTCGGCCGCATCCGGTCTTTTGTCTTAATTGTAATCGGCGGGGATTGTGATTTTCGCCAAAATGAATCTTTTGCCGAATGCCAAAATGAAAGTGCGTTTCGTTTGGGAGTCATTTTTGCAGCACAGAGCGCCAATTTCGAGCGCCAAGTTGTTTGTCTCAGAGGTTTCTGTTCCGAAATTCGAGGAGCTGAATGGTACGAGAGTATTAAAAGCAAAAACGATAAATACGTAAATAAATAGATAAATAAATAAATAAATAAAATGAAG